GAGGAGGGTGACAGGCAGAAGGCAGGAAAGGGACAGGGCTGGTGGAGTAGGGGAGGGGCCTGCGAACAGGAAGGTGCCCCGGGACCCAGTGGCAGCAGTGGCCAGAAGCGCCTGGATGGACTGTCCCCACTAACCCAGCAGAGGGCACTCTGTCCATGCCAAGGACACCACAGGGTCACAGGCACAGGCCAACACCGGGAGAGAGGGGCAGAGGGACCAGGATCCCATCCTGGAGCTTCCCAGTAATTAAAATATTTTTAGGGACTTCCCTGGTGGTCCAGTGGTTAAGAGTCCCAATGCAGGGGGCATGGGTTTGATCCCTGGTTGGAGAACTAAGATCCCCCATGCCACATAGTGTGGCCTTAAATATATATACATATTTTTTTAAAGGATAAAAAATATGTATATATATTAAAGGATCCCAAGATCCTGGAAGGAGGGACTGACTTGGGGCGGGCAATACTCCATTCCTTCATTAAGCCAATGAGGTAGTATCTGAACAGTACTTAGAACCTCCTCCATACATGGTGACCCTTATGGTTACAGTTATTATTATTCTATGCTATACCCTGTGTTAAGTGCTGGGGCAATGTTTGATCAACTGGGCAAGAAAGTTCCCTAAGGCTCAAGGAACTCAGTGTGGGAGACACACAACATTCAGCAGGATTAGGGCCTCAACATGGGAGGTCTGGGAGGCCTTCCTGGAGGAAGGGGCTTCTAAGCTGACGTGTGCAGGTCAACCAAGGGCTGACCACGTTTTTTGTTATTTGAAAAAAAAGATCATCAGGACAGAGTGTTTCACGGAATGAAAGCAACTGTGCAGATGGAAGGATCTCAGGCAGGGTTGGCAGATCAGCAGTAGAACTTGGTGGTTGTTATTCTTAGTGATGTGTTGCAATTGTGTTATTCAATACTAATTGTTTAGTTGCTAAGTTGTGTCCACCTCTTTGTGACCCCAGACTGTAGCCCACCAGGCTTTTCTGTCCATGGGATTCTCCAGGCAGGAATACTGGAGTGGGTTGCCAGTTCCTTCTCCAGGGGATCTTCCCAGACCCAGGGATCCAACCCACGTCTCTTGCACTAGCAGGCGGATTCTTTACCACTGAGCCACCAGGGAATCCAACTACTGACTACTTAGAATTAATTCCTAAAGGTTTATGACTTTGAGCAGCTGCCTCCCTCTCTCTTTGAGCAGATGCCTCAGTTTGCTTCTCTGAGTCCCTGGTCGCCCACTCCTCATTTTACAGCTGTGATATGCTCTAAGAAAACAGGGCCTGATGAGCAGGCTGCACCCTCAGACCAACCCTTGGGGCCCAGTCACAGAGGAAGGCTTCGGGGATGACCTGGGGTAGGCATAGACCCTAGTTCTGAGCCCTGCAGCCACAGTGACTATGCCCCAGTCTGGTGGGAGCTTTATTCTGAAGACATACCCAGCATCTGGGATGGTGGAGGGGGTTTGCCCACAGCCCTCTGAGTCTCATTTGTTGAGCAGAGGTTGAAGATTAGAGTGAGGCTCCCCAGAAGACAGTGGGGTCCTGGGAAACCTCGTTTGACTTTTCCAGAGAGGGTAAGAGCCTCCAGGAAGCCCCTGGGCATTGAGTCCCTGGGTAGGGCCAGAGTACCCGCAAATGGGGTGGAGGGCTACACCCAGCCTGTTCTGAGTACCCAGGGCAGGTATAGTCAAGTTCACGGTTTCGGGTGAGATTCCTGGGACAGGGTGTCAAGTGAGAGTCCTCGACTTTGTGCAGAAAACAAGCCACAGTAAAGTGGAAGCGAGCCTATTTAGAGAAATAACACATTCCATAGACTGAAAGAGGTCCCTCTCAGAAGGTGAGAGTGGTTCTGGTGTATGGGTTGTTCATTTTTATAGGTTGGTAATTTCTAACAAGTAGGAGGATTATTCCAACTATTTTGGGGTAGAGGTGGGGATTTCCAGGAATTGGGCCACACCTATCATTTTGGTTGGCCTTGGAACTATCTTGACACCTGTGTTGTTTAGCGTATGCTAATGTGTTACAATGAGCACATAATGAGGCTCAAAGTCTATGAGAAGTTGGATCTTCCCCCATCTCCCTCCTGCTTGGTTCTAAGTAGTTTTTTTGTATTCTCAATGGCTGAGTCATTTGTGTGTGTGTGTATGTATGCATGTGATACTTGGAATGATTGTACCCTGCCCCCTCCCCTCCTGTCTCACTGCCACCCAGTACTAGGCCAAGCTGAGATAAGGGGGATCCAGATGGTGTAGACCCTGGAGTGTGACCCTCTTTTGTCCCCTACACAGGACCTCTCAAATCCTGAGACCATTCCTTTGGGACCATGGGATAAACCTTAATCCCCTCCTCCCAAGGTTTGTATCCAGGGAACCTCAGGCTAAGATGAATATCCCCCAAGTAAGAGGCAATCCCAGCCCTGTGACTGTTGCCAAGAAAATGAACCACAGGCACAGATGTCTAAGGTATGACTCACAACTCGATACAGTATCTCTTACCTCATTCACCCAGAAGTTAAGCTATCCCAGTGGGTGGGAAGTGGTATCTCACTGAAGGTTTGGTTTGCATTTCCCCTGATGAATAATAATGTTGAGTATTTTTTCAATGGGCTTGTTGGCCATTCGCATATCTTCTTTGGAGAAATATCTATTCATATATTTCACCCATTTTTAATGAAATTATTTGTCTTTTTACTGTTTGTAAAAAGTATTTGTAAAAATTAGTTGTCTTTTTACGGTTGAGTTGTGAGAGTTCTTCATATATTCTCAATGCAGGTCCCTTATCAAATATATGATTTGCAAATATTTTCTCCCACTCTGAGAGTTATCTCTTCACTTTCCTGATGATGTCCTTTAGTGCACAAATGTTTTAGTTTTGGGGCTGCACCATGCAGCATGCAATGATCTTAGTTCCTTGACCAGGGATCAAACCCATGGCTCCTGCAGTGGAAGCACAGCGTCTTAGACTGTCAGGGAAGTCCAATTTTTTTGCCATCCAATTTATGTGGGGTTTTTTTTCCCTTTGTCACTTGTGCTTTTGGTGTAGTGTCGAAGAACCCATCGCCTGATCCAAGGTCATGAAGAGTTACTGCTATGCTTTCTTCTAAGAATCTTTACAGTTCTAGTGTTGTTTTGTTTTTTTCTCTTTAAACGGTATGAGGTCGCAGTCCAACCACATTCTTTCACATGCAGCTATCCAGCACTGTTTGCTGAAAAGACTATTCTTCCCATCCTTTACTGTCTCAGCACCCTGATGGAAAATTAACTAACTGTAAATGTAAGGGCTTATTCTCAATTCTATTTCACCGATCTATATGTCTACCCAGTAGTAAGTACCACACCATCTTGATTCCTGTAACTTTGCACTAACTATACATTTTAAACAATACATATCAAGGCTTGGCTAGGTGGGAGAGGAGCGCGTGCGGAGGTGGGGGCCCTCTTACCCGCTCCCAGAGCTGAGGGGTCCACCCTCTTCTCTGCTCCCCGACAGCTGCCTGCCCGGCCTCCCCTGGATGTGGCATTCAAAGCTCTAGGTTTAAACTGGAAGAAAGCTAAAGCCTCGTAAGAAGGAACCCTGCATCCTGGCCGCCCACGCGACTGCTGCCGGGAGGTGCCTTCTCTTACCCCAGGCTTTCTGCCTTCCACTCCCGGGGCCCCGGAATCAGAGCGGGAAAATCAACAAGCTGGACAGTGAGCAGGTGGGCTACGCCAATTACTCGTTAATTACATACCAATGCGCCCCTAGGCGCCGGGAGCCGGGTCGGGGCTGCTGGAGTGGTACGGACCACTCGGAGGAGGGGGCGAGCTAGCGAGCAGCGGTGTCTGCCCGCCCCCGCCTACCCGCTCCCCCGGGCCTGGCCCCGAGGCCTCCCGCCCGGCTCCCGGAGACGCGGAGGTGGTCCCGCCCACCCGCGCCCTGCCCCCGCCCCTTGGTCCCCGCTGCCGCCAGGCGTCCTGCCGCCTCCTCCGCGGGCGGGCCGGGCCGCAGGAAGCCGCGCTCGGCGGGAGTGGAGCCGCCCCTCCGCCGGGCCTGTGCGAGCCGGTGAGCAGGCTCCCCAGGCCCGCCCAAGACCCCCGAGGTGTCTTCCCGCGCCGGGGTCCCCGTGGGCGCCGTCGCGGACCCGCCCCGCCGGGGGCCTCCGGGGCCCTTTCCCAGCCTGTTGGGGGTGAGGATCCAGAAAAGTTCCTTGTCCGGATCCCACGGGCAGCTCCAGCCTGGGATGTCTGGGGACCCCCATGGCCTGGCGGGTGAGGGGACAGGCACCACCCAAGGCCTGGGCTGAAACCTCCATGGGGGACGCTGCCTGGACGTCCCAGAAGCCCCACCCAGAGGAGATCCGCCGTGAGAGGGAGAGTGGGAAGCAAGCCCTGTGGAAACTGATCCGGACGGATGGCAGGGAATGTGCCAGGGTGGCAAGAGGTCATGAGGTTCCCGCTGCCTCGCCCATCCCCCTTCCTGGCCGTGGTCAGCCAGGGCCCCTGTCTGGGTGGTGGGGGCACCTTTGGAGGCAGAGAAGGGAGGAGGGTGACCTGCTCCAGCTGGCCAACCTCTGGAACCGCCTTCTTCCTTCCCCGGGCTCCTGCCAGGTCCAGGAATTTGAGGGCTTGTCCACCCCAAGCTCAGGCTGGCTCGCGCTGCTCCCCTGTCTGGCAGGAACCTCACTCCTGCCTGTCCTCTGCCCTGGGCTTCAGGCTGGGCATCCTGCCTGGTGTGGAGCCTGGGGAGGGAGGGGGTCTCCAGGGTCTGGCCATCCTTCTGCTGTTGGTAAAGCTGACGGTTCCTTGTTTTCCTCTCACCAGCTCTTCCGCCAGGAGAAGAGAGAGAGGTCCAGGGGGAGGCCCTTGCACACCAGGACCCTAACCCCAGACCCCTGCGTGAGAGCATCACTGCCCTTTTTTGACTGTACCTGCAAGCTCGGGGCAGGGGGCGGGGATGGATTCTGAGGGCCTGGCCAGTCTCCTGGCATAAGATGGGAAGCCTTAAAAAACAGACTGGGCACTGTGTGTCATGGGAGAAGGACAGGAGATGTCATCTGAACTTCCGTCCATACAGCCAGCTTTGGGTCACCTGGGCATGAAGACGGTCGTTCTCTCTGGGCAGCAGGTCCCGTGGTAAGCTGCTCACCTCCAGTCCCGGGAAGTGAGAGTGAAGCAGCTCCAGCCCCATCTCCCTCCTTGCCCCAACCACTCGCCAGGTGGTGATCATGACTCCTGGTTCCAGGTACAAAGGGAAGACGGCTTCTCTGCCGGGGCAGAGGCGGAACCAGAGCCCACACTGCTGCTCTGTTCCGCTTGAGTCTTCTGGAATGGACCTGCCTGCCCGGAAACCAGCTCACCCTTGTTCCTGGGCTTGCCTGCCCCCCCGGGGAACACAGGTGAGTCACATTGATATTACCTTTTGTGCTCAGGTGGAGGCCAGGTGGGCGGCTGTGAACAGGTCCCTCCCTGCTCTAGTGTGGAAGAGGGAGGAGAAGTGCAGGTGACAGCGATAAACATGGAAGGATCCACTCCAGTTTGGTGTGGAAACTACTATTAAGGAGAGGAGTTCAGGAAAGGGGCTAGAGTTGGGGGTCAGCATAGCTTCGTGGAGATGCCGCTGGGGCTGACTCTTGAAGGACCGACTGGGCTTCTCTCTGGCTGAGGATTTTGGAATCTCAAGGCAACCAAGTTCCCGAGGAGGGACCAGTTGGCTCGGGGAGGGGGTGCTGGAGGACCAACAGGAGAGAAAAGCTATGCGTGTGACCTACGAGTTGCATGGGGGCTGTATGGGAGGGCACAGCCTCCTTGGAGAAGGCCGAAGTCTGAAAGCCAGCTCCTAGAGGGGGGCCAGGGTAAAGAGAGAACAGAGGTGCTTGGGGTTTCCTGGGCTCTGATTGTCCCCGGAGGCCTGGAGGGAGGAGAAACCAGCTCCACTGAAAGGTTCCGAGGGAAGGTAGGTGCAGGGTGAAGGTCAGAAGTCTGGACAGAGTTCACTGGAGGGGGTGCTCAGAGGAGTAACTGCTGATAAGGGCACCAGAAGCCTCTGCATGGAGGGGCAGGAGGCAAGGGTGAAGGAGAGGGGACCAGAGCCGAGCAGGGGGTTGGGGGCCCCCACATGTCTACTCTCCCGTCTTACTTCTCCCTGCCACCTCTGGTCAGAGGCAGCCTGCTGCTCTGAAGGGGCTTGGGGGTTCCGGGGGTGGGGTGCTGTGGTGAGACCTGCCGGAGGGAAGGCTGGTGGCCCTTCTGGGAGGAAGGTGAAAAGTGTGGCAAGTCCAGGAAGACGGAGGGGTCCGGGTGTGTGGAGGCAGGGTGAGCACTGGAGCAGGGTGGGGAGACTTAGCATTCACAGGCGGGATCAGGTGGCATCTGTGGCCTTTCTCCTTGCTGAGGGAAGAGAAATCCTGGTAGGGGTGAGAGCCAGTTTGCTGGAAGAGGATCTGAGGTTTGCCCCCAAGCTTGGGGCCGAGCCGGAGAATCGGGGCTGGGGTGATCTCTAGGGCCAGTGTCACGTGCAGGAGCCAGGAGAGCAGGAGGTGTTCCCAGCCCACACACAGGACTCAAGGTCATGCACACTCACACTCACACTCACTCACTCACTCACTCACACTCACTCTCCCAGGCTAGGATGAATGAGGTAGTCACCATGGCAGGGCCCCTGGAGGTCCTCTGGGGAGGGAATAGGCCTATGCCGGAGAAAGGTTAGGGGTTGGAGCCCAGGAAGGAGGCAGTTAGGCTGGATCCAGCTTGGGTGCTGTGTTGAAGCTCCAGGGCCTGTGGGGAGGGTGTGGGGTGCTGGGCTGGGCAGGAAGAGGGGTTTCGTATTTCTGATAGTTTCCCGAGTTTCCATGGATCTTCAGGGCCTGGGGCAGAAAGGAGGCAGGCTGTGGGAACAGGAGCTCCCAGGACTGCTCCTACTGCCTGGCATGGGTGAGGTCGGGGCCCCTGCAGGCCTGGGAGCAGGGGCAGAGTCAGGATGGAGGGACTGGAAAAAGGGCTTTGCATTTGGGGATGAGGCTGGGCGTCAAGGCCTGGATAAGGCAGCTTCTGTGATGGGGGCAGTGACCCTGGTGGTGGCGAGGAACCAAGGTAGGACTGAGCCAAAGATGTGAGGGTGTGTGTGTTTGCATAGCATGTGACCATGTTTGATTGTGTGTGTCTGTTTGTCTGTGTAGCATGTGTCTGTCTATCTCTGGGCTTGCCTGACTGTCTCTAGGTGTGCTTCTGCATATGTGTATGTCTGAGCATGTGTATCTCTGTGTATGTCTATGCCCTCCTGAACAAACGTGTGACTGACTGTGTGTGTCCATGTGTCTCTGGATTTTTCTGTGTATAAGTGTGGGTTTGCATGTAACTCTGTGTGCCTGGGTGATTCCATGTGTTTCTCTCTGCCTGTCTATGTGGTGTGTGTCTGTCTATGTGTCTGCGTGTGTATCTACGTAAGTGCATGTCTGTGTATGTAACTGTGCCCATCTGTGTGAATGGGTATCTTTCTACGCATTCCTGTGTGACTGTGTATGCACCGGTGTTACATATGTTTGTGTGCTTTGTATGTCTGTGCTTGTGCACCTTTCTGTACATTCATGTGTGACTGTGTATGTTCTCTGTGTTGTGTGTTATGTTTTATGTGTGTTACATGTGGTGTGTGTTATGTGTGTGAGTTGTGTGGTATGTGTGTTGTGTCTGTGTTGTGTGGTGTGTGTATCTGTGCTGTGTGTGTTGTGTGCTGTGTGTGTATGTGTGGTATGTGTATCTGTGCTGTGTGTGTGTGGTATGTATTGTGTGTGCATTGTGTGGTATGTGTGCTGTGTGTATGGGATGTGTTGTGTGTGTGTTGCATGGGATGTGCTGTGTGTATGTGTGCTGCGTGCATGTGGTATGTGTTGTGTGTTGTGTGGTATGTGTGTGCTGTGTGTATATGTGCTGTGTGTGTGGTATGTGCTGTGTGCTGTGTGTGTGGTATGTGCTGTGTGTGTGTGTTTTGTGGGGTGCTCAGAGAAGCCCTGGCAGGGACAGGCCTCTCCCCTGTGTGACTGTGGGGTGTGTGTTATGTGTTGTGTGGTGTGTGTTTGTGTGGTATGTGGTGTGTCTGTGGTGTATGTGTGCATGTGTGGTGTGTTTATGCGTGCTCTGTGTGTGGTGTGTGTGGTGTGTGTGTGTGGTGTGGGTGTTGTGTGTGTGTGGGGTGTGTGTGGTGTGTGTGTGGGGGGGTGTGTGGTGTGGTGTGTGTGTGGTGTATCTGTGTGGTGTGTGTGTGTGGTGTGGTGTGTGTGTGTGTGGTGTGTGTGTGGGGGGTGTGTGGTGTGGTGTGTGTGTGTGGTGTGTGTGTGGGGGTGTGTGTGTTGTGTGTGTGGGGGGGTGTGTGGTGTGGTGTGTGTGTGTGGTGTGTGTGTGTGGGTGTGTGTGGTGTGTGTGTTGTGTGTGTGGGGGTGTGTGTGTGGGGTGTGTGGTGTGTGTGTGTGGTGTGTGGTGTGTGTGTGAGTGTGTGTGTGGTGTGTGTGTGGGGGGGTGTGTGTGTGTGTGGTGTGTGTGTGTGTGTGTGGTGTATGTGTGTGGTGTGTGTGTGTGGGGGGTGTGTGGTGTGTGTGTGTGTGGTGTCTGTGGTGTGTGTGTGTGTGTGGTGTGTGTGTGTGTGGTGTGTGTGTGGTGTGTGTGTGGGGTGTGTGTGTGTGTGGTGTGGTGTGTGTGTGTGTGGTGTGTTGTGTGTGTGGTGTGTGGGGTGTGTGTGTGTGGGGGGTGTGTGTGTGTGGTGTGTATGTGGTGTGTGTGGGGGGGGTGTGTGTGTGGGGTGTGTGGGGTGTATGTGTGTGTGGTGTATGTGTGTGGTGTGGTGTGTGTGTGGTGTGTGTGTGTGGTGTGGTGTGTGTGGGGGGTGTGTGTGGGGTGTGTGTGGGGTGTGTGTGTGGGGTGTGTGTGTGGTGTGTGGGGGGGGGTGTGTGGTGTGTGTGTGGTGTGGTGTTTGTGGTGTGTGTGTGGGGGTGTGTGTGTGGTGTGTGTGTGTGGTGTGTGTGTGGTGTGTGTGGTGTGTGTGTGTTTGGGGTGTGTGTGGGGGGTGTGTGGTGTGGTGTGTGTGTGTGGTGTGTGTGTGGTGTGTGTGTGGGGTGTGTGGGGTGTGTGTGGGGTGTGTGTGTGGGGTGTGTGTGGGGTGTGTGTTTGTGTGTGGTGTGTGTGTGTGGTGTGTGTGTGGTGTGTGTGTGTGGTGTGTGTGTGGTGTTGTGTGTGTGTGGTGTGTGTGGTGTGTGTGTGTGGTGTGTGTGTGGTGTGTGGGGGGGGGGGTGTGTGGTGTGGTGTGTGTGTGTGGTGTGTGTGTGGTGTGTGTGTGGGGGGTGTGTGGTGTGGTGTGTGTGTGTGTGTGGTGTCTGTGGTGTGTGTGTGTGTGTGGTGTGTGTGTGTGGTGTGTGTGTGGTGTTGTGTGTGTGTGGTGTGTGTGGTGTGTGTGTGTGTGTGTTGTGTGTGTGTGTGTTGTGTGTGTGGTGTATGTGTGTGGTGTGGTGTGTGTGTGGTGTTGTGTGTGTGTGGTGTGTGTGGTGTGTGTGTGTGTGTGGTGTGTGTGTGGTGTATGTGTGTGGTGTGGTGTGTGTGTGTGGGGTGTGTGTGTGGGGTGTGTGTGTGGGGTGTGTGGTGTGTGTGTGTGTGGGGTGTGTGTGTGGTGTGTGTGTGTGGTGTGTGTGTGGTGTGTGTGTGGTGTGTGTGTGTGTTGTGTGTGTGTTGACAGGGGCGCTGCAGGGAGCCTGGGCTCCGCTCGGACGCTGTGCTGTGCCACAGCTGCCTGCTCGGCCGCCCCGCCCGCTGGCTCCCGGGCCGTCAGCGTGGCTCTGACAGTGAGCCTGGCTGTGCCTGGGGCGCGGGAAGCAGGACGACTGGTCTAGTCACTGTGTGCCTGTGGGGCCCCAGGGCTGAGCGGCTCCAGACGGCGGCTCCTCTCCTGGCAGTTACCGCCCTCGGGCGCCGCGGCCTCGGCTGGGCGGGCAGCCGCACCTGCTGACCCCTAGATGACGGCACAGCAGGAAAGCGTCCCCCTCCCCCACCCCTTCCCCGCCCCGGCCCACAGTGGCTCACCTGCCGGCCCCTCCTGTCCCTCCTGCCAGGCTGGCTCTGAGAAGTAGAGGAAAGGTGATGCCAAGGCCAGTGCATGGGCTTCTGGCCACCTCCCAGGGGGCGGCGCCCCTCTGCCGAACCCGGTGCCAGGGTGAGAGGAAGGGACGGGTCCAGCCGCCCAGGCACGGCTGGCAGCTCCCTTCTGTCCCTTCCCCAGGCAACCCGGGCGCCGGTCAGGCTGTGGCCGCAGCACTCGTAGCCAAGGATGCCCCAGGCCTTGAAGCGCTCCGAGGGCTGCTGGGCCTGGGTGGTGCTGCTGGCCTCCGTGGTGACGCAGGGCCTCACTCTGGGCTTCCCCACGTGCATCGGCATCTTCTTCACCGAACTGCAGCGTGAGTTCCAGGCCAGCAACAGCGAAACTTCCTGGTTCCCCTCCATCCTGACAGCCATGCTCCATGCAGGGGGTGAGCAGGACGGGGAGGGACTGGGTGTGGGCTGGGATGCGGGGAGGTATGAGAAGGAGCCCTGGGGGGAAGGGAGGCAGCCACAACCTCTCTGGCCTCCTGGGTCCCTCTCTCTGGCCACAGGTTTTGCCTGGTGCTGTGAATTCCTGGGATGTCATCTTGATTTCAGCAGGGCCAGTTCCCCCGCCCAGGATCCTGTGGGGCTGGGCTGGGTTGGACTGGGCCGGGGAGGGGCACCGGGCAGGGAGGCCCCCAAGATGTAAAGCCGGTCCTCCTGATGAGTGTGGGAGGATCAAGCCAGACCTGGGGTCCCGCGAGGTGTGAGAGCTCGGGCAGTAGAAGCAGCCCTCATCAGGGCTTCAGGACAGGAAGCAGGGCTGGAGAACGACCCCAGGAGCAAGAGGGGGCAGAGTGAGAACCCCATCTCTGACCAGGAAGCAGAGGGCTGCGGAGATGGAGGGTGGTCCCCTCGGTTCCTGGTTGCCTTCTCCAGAGATGCAAAGGGCTCACCTTGACCCCAGGGAAAGGGAAGGGGCCCAGGTGGGTTCTCCACGGTAGCCTTGGGCTCGCAGGCCTGCCCCCCGACTCCTGGGAGGTCTCCAGGGAGACTCCATGGGCAGTGACCTCTGTGGGGGCTCGACTGGACAGCCCACCGGGCTCTCCCCACCCCTGGTTGCCTGTCTCAGGTGATCCATCTCCCTGCCCTCCACTGGCACCAGGAAGGAAGTCAGACCGCGCTAGGAGCCACCTGCACTGACATGACCCTCGAACCTGCTACTTGGGACACGGGCTCGGGGCAAGGAGCAAGGCCAGGCCTGGCTCAGACCACACAGCCTTTCAGCCAACAAGCATGGGCAGAAGCGTGAATCTCAGATGGCCCGTTCTCTGCAACAGGAGAGGGGTCTGGGCCAGGGACTAGGAACCGGGCATTCAGTGGGGACCCTGCTCTCCAGCCAGCTTTAGACTCACACCCAGGAGGCATGCCAACATTCCTGTCGGCCCAGGACTCCTATGTGTCTGTCTTACATACACACACACGCCTTTAGTCTATGCTCATTCGGAGTATTGTGGAAATTTTAAACTTGAAAGTATCCTTGATCCTAAGTACCCCCCAAACCCACACGTTTTAGAGATGAAGACAGCCAGCACGGAGTATCCGAGGCCTTGCCCATGCTATAGGGTGAGTTTGGGGCAGACACCGTGCCCATGCAGAGGAAACATTTGCCTTCCAGTGCCCCACCCCAGCACCCTCTGCTATCTCAGCTAAGCTGGCACACATCCCACATCCCTGCCCCACACACGATGACTCAGGGTTCTCCCCAGTGTCACCTTTCCAAAGTCAGGTCAAAGTATGGGTGTGGGAAGAATGTATGGGTCAGCGGCCATGTCCATTTCAAAGCCTCACCTCTCCCTCTGTGGCTGCCTCTCCTTGATTACCTCTGAGGATGGGCCACTCACTTCCGCTACTACTCCCACACTCAGATTGGCTCACACCCACACCAAGCAGCCAAACTCACATTGCGCACACACACACGCTTTCTCTGTCCCTTTGGCTGCGCTCTGGGAGAGTTAACTCTGGAGAAGCTCGATGTGTTTGGGAGGGCAGGGCGGTGCGGAGCAAGGTGTTTGGCGGATGGGGCCCTGTGAGGCGTCCGGGAGCAGCCGGCCAGGACGGGCTCACTTCTACTCTGGGTCCGCACCGACAAGAAAGCAGCTCAGCGTAAAGGTGGGGGAGCACAGGCGCCCCTCCACCAGAAGCCAAATGTCTAGTGATGCAAGACTTCGGTGGGGGCTGGAAGGAATGGGGGATGGGAGAAGGTACCCCACCCACTTTTCCCCAGAGGCCGGAGCGAGGGGATGCAGGGTAGCCCAAGGCCCCGGTTGCCCACCCTGAACAGATTGAAGGATGGTGGGAGGACTGCAGCTAGTCCTCCTGAGGATGGAAGAGTGGGGAACGGGGACTAGAGGTGCTCACCGTGATGTAGCTGCCCTGGGACTGTGGTCCACTGAGACCGACCCCTGCGAGGGGCATCCACCCAGGTCACGATTTCACCCAGATGGATGCAGCCTCTGATCAGTGCAGTGGAGGGCCTTAGTCTGTACCTCTGGGGGTCCTGGTCAGAGTCAAATTGAATATTTGCAGCACCTCACCTCACAGCTGCTCAGACATCACCCAGCCTGACCCCTCAGCCTCTGCAGGAGGAAACCAAGGCCTAGAGAGGGACTGGCCGTGCTCGGCCTGTAGACAGTCTTGAGCAGGGTGGGGATCAGAACCAGGCTTGTGTGTTCCAGGACTTGTGCCTGTGCCTTTTTTTTAATTGAGGGCTTCCCTGGGTGGATCAGTGGTTAAAAAAAAAAAAAATCCACCTGCCAATGCAGGAGACACAGCAGATCCAGGTTCGATCCCTGGGTCAGGAAGATCCCCTGGAGGAGGAAATGTTAGCCCACTCCAGTATTCTTGCCTGGGAAATCCCATGGACAGAGGAGCCTGGCAGGCCCCAGTTCATAGGTTGCAGAGTCAGACACAACTGAGTGATAGCACGCACACATTTATTATTTCTTTTTGGCTGTGCTGTCTCTGTTGCTATGCAAGCTTTTCTCTAGTTGTAGCGAGTGGGGGCTCTTCTCTAGCTGCTGTGTGCGGGCTTCTCAATGTGGTGGCTTCTCTTGTGGAGCACAGGCTCTAGGATACACTGGCTTTGGTAGTTGAGGCTCCTGGGCTGTAAGCGCAGGTTCATTGCTCTGTAGTTGTGGTGCATGAGCTTCATTGCTCCACGGCATATGGGATCTTCCCGGATCAGGGATTTGAACCTGTGTCTCATGCATTGGCAGGCGAATTCTTTACCACTGAGCCCCCAGGGAAGCCCTGGGGCTTGTGCCCTTTAAGCCACCTGCTAGTTCCTCCTGGAACCCCCTCCTAAGCCCCCTCCCTTCCTCTGACCTCATCATCCAGCTGTCACCTGCCGCCTGCCCCCTCCCCACAGGCCCCCTGTGTAGTGTCCTGGTGGGATGCTTTGGCTGCAGAGCGACGATGCTGCTGGGCGGCGTGCTGGCCAGCCTGGGCATGGTGGCCGGCTCCTTCTGCCGCACCCTCGGCCAGCTCTACCTCACGGCAGGATTCATCACAGGTGACTGTCATTCCATTTCGAGAGTTACTGGGTGGGTACTGGGTACGAGACTGAAAAGGGCCAGGCGTGGTGAACAGGGCGGGCAAAGCTTCGAATCCTCTGGGGCTGCTCACAGCCACTCGAGGCAGAGGAACAACAAACAGATAAGTAACAAGGGTCAATCCTGACAAGTGCCCAGGAAGACAGGGCAGCTGATGCCATAGTGTCCTTGTTCGGGTGGGGTTGGGCAGAGATTAGACAAGTAAAGAGATGGAATAACTAAAACAGCCAGTGCAAAAGATATAGCAGGGTTGGGGGAGGTTGCTGCTTTTTATTTTTTGGCTGTGCCTGAGGCTTGTCAGATCTCGGTTGTCCGACCAGGGATGGAACCCGCACCCCCTGCAGTGGAAGTGTGGAGTCTTTTAACTCTGACCACCAGGGAAGTCCCAGCTTGCTGCTTTCAGCAGAGCTGTCAGAGAAGGCCTTAGAGCAGAGAAGGTGACATTTGGCAAGAAGGAGGTAAGGCATCTGCCACCAGGCTCCCCAGGGAAGAACATTCCAGAAGGAGCAGTAAGACCAAAGGCCCAGGAATGCTCTTGGAGCACTGAGGACAACGATAGGATAGAAGTGAAAGTGAAAGCATCCACCTCTGCAACCCCATGGACTCTATAGTCCATGGAATTCTCCAGGCCAGAATGCTGGAGTGGGTTAGGGGATCTTCCCAACACAGGGATCGAACCCAGGTCTTCCTCATTGCGGGTGGATTCTTTACCAGCTGAGCCGCCAGGGAAGCCCAATAGGGTAGAAGGGTGTGAACAAAGGTCAAGGAGGTGGGGGGTGGGGCGGCGAGGCAGCAGGGAAGAAGGCCAGACAGGGTTTAGCTCCTCAAAGGCTTTGTAGTGAGATGGGAAGCCCAGTGAGGGGTTTGGGCAGAGGGACGTCATTCAGCCGCTATTTATGAAGAACTAGGTACTACCCTGGGGACTTCCCAGGTGGTGCTAGTGGTAAAGAACCCACTTGCCAGTGCAGAAGATGTAAGAGATGTGGATTCGATCCCTGGGTCAGGAAGATCCCCTGGAGGAGAGGGCATAGCAGCCCACTCCAGTATTCTCGCTCGGAGAATCCCATGGACAGAGGAGCCTGGTGGGCTACAGTCCATAGGGTTCCAAAAAGTCTGGCATGACTGAAGCAACTTAGCAAGCATGCATGCAGGCAGTATCCTAGCTGTGGTGTTGTGAGCACACCACAGGAGGCTAGGCTGAGAGCAAAGAACAGGTGGGGGAATGGTCATCACCCAGCCAGGAGGCGTCTGCAACCTTAAACCAGCGTGACACGATGGAGGCTATGGGAAAGGGTCTCGTTCAGGATTGCAGGTGAGGTGCAGAGAAGGACACCAGGATAAGCGAAGAGCCAAGGGTGATACCAAGGGTGGAATGGAAGAGAGGGGTGGCCACTAACTATGATGCGGACTCGAGGGGAAGAGCAGGTTCACGGGCGGGTGGGAAGCTCAGGTTTGGACACACCTGGTCTGGCCCTGAGCTGGAGTGGCCAGCTGGGGAGTCCTGAGACCCCTGGTATTCAGGTCTTGAGATGAGGTTATCACCCTGCTGTCACTAAGGGAATGAGGGAGGACGGATGATAAAGACTGGGGCCTGGGGCCCAGGACACGGACACTCCAGTGGTTCGCGGCCGGGGCAGGAAGAAGTGACAGAGAGGTAGGAGGAGAACCAGGAGAGAGGGGTTTCTTGACAAAGGAAGTGAGGAAACTGCTCCAGGAGGAGGAGGAGGGAGGGACCGTGAAGCCACTGATGGATCAGATTGAGCGGGCATCAGACTCCATCTGTGACTGTAATGTGGGGGGCGGCAGCCTTGATAATTCTGGAGCAGAGGTAAGGATGAAAGTCTGATTTTTTCAAAAGAGAACAATAGGGGAGTTGCCCGGTGGCCTAGGACGATTCTGGGCTTTCACTGCCATGGCCCGAGTTGCTTGGGAAACTGCGATCCCACAAGCCGTGTAATATTGCTGAAAAAAAAGAAAGAAAGAACAGGAAGGAGGAAATTGAAGACAGTGGAGGCAGGATTTCCAAGAAATTTTGATATAAGGGAGCAGAGACACAGGCCGGTATCCAGAAGAGACTGGGGTCAAGAGAGAGTTTTGTTTTCGCGGAAGAAATCACAGTGGAGGAGAATGATCTATTAACAGTAAAGAGGAGAAAATGGATGCACCTGGGAGAGGGAAGTTGCTGGAGGGACGTGGGGCTGATAGGGCTTTATCATGGCAAGTGGCCTGAGATGGCACCCAGACGTGGCCAAGGGCCAGCCCGTGTAGAGCCTTCCAAGGCAGAGTAAATACTTTGGCTTTTTTCCTCCATGTGAAGGGAAATCTCTGGAAGGTGTTAAGCAAGGGAGAGACTTCACCCAGTTTGGGTGTTTGAACATCCCCTGGTGCCTTGCCCGTGGGATCTGTTCAGAGGGCCGATCTGATGGGGGGCAGGATGCTTCCAGGGAGGTGGTGTGGTGGGCTGATCTCACCTGAAACTCCTGGGCACCTGGAAGTGGGTCTGGTCTGGGCTGGAACGGAAGGAGGACAGACCCGGGACGTGACCCCAGGGTCCCCATGCTGGGTGCACCCTGGAGCTGGTCCCCCTCTCTCCCTCCACAGGCCTGGGCATGTGCTTCAGCTTTCAGTCGAGCATCACCGCACTGGGACTGTACTTCACCCGCTGGCGGGTGCTGGCCAACGCGCTGGCCTCAGCGGGTGTCTCCCTGGGCATCACGCTCTGGCCGCTGCTCTCCCGTTACCTCCTGGAGGAGCTGGGCTGGCGAGGCACCTTCCTCATCTTTGGCGGGGTCCTTCTCCACTGCTGCGTCTGCGGGGCCGTCGTGAGGCCCGTGCCTGCCAGCATGACCCCGGAGGCCAGAGAAGGCCTCCCCTCACCTTCCAAGAGACCCTCGCGAGGCTGCCCAGCGGCGTGTGGCCGGGCTATCCAGCGCCACCTGGCCTTCGACGTCCTGCGGGACAACGTGGGCTACTGCGTGTACACGCTGGGGGTTGTCTGGATGATCATGGGTTTCCCGCTGCCCCACGTCTTCCTGGTCCCGTACGCTGTTCGGCACGGGGTGGATGAACACAAGGCGGCCCTGCTCATCTCCATCATCGGCTTTAGCAACATCTTCCTGCGGCCCATGGCTGGGCTGTTGGCGGGCCGCCGGGAGTTTGCGGGTCACCGCAAGTACCTGTTCAGCCTGGCGGCCCTGCTCAACGGCCTCACCAACCTGGTGTGCGTGGTGTCGGCCGACTTCCGGGTGCTGGTGGGCTACTGCCTGGTGTATAGCGTGTCCATGAGCGGCATCGGTGCCCTGATCTTCCAGGTCCTCATGGACATTGTCCCCATGGACCGGTTCTCCAGCGCCCTGGGGCTCTTCACCGTCCTGGAGAGCATCTCCATCCTCATCTCCCCGCCGCTGGCTGGTGAGGCTCCCTGGGAAGGGAGGGCAGGCACGGGGTGGCCTGGGCGGGGTGCGTGCGTGCCAGGTCACTTCAGTTGTGTCCGACTCTTTGGGACCGCATGGACTGAAGCCCGCCAGGCCCCTCTGTCCATGGGATTTTCCCAGCAAGAATACTAGAGTGGGTTGCTATGCCCTTCTCTAGAGGATCTTCCCAACCCAGGGATCAAACCCTGGTCTCTCGCATTGTGGGCAGATTCTTTACTATCTGAGCCCCCAGGGAAGCCCCTATTTGTGATTTTCTCAATCACCTCGGGGGACTGGCCACAGCCTGTTCCCCAGCTGGCGATCATGGTATAAACAGTCAAAACTAAGGCTTTTGGTACCAGACCTACCTCAGTTTTTTGTCTTCCCCTCTGTGCCTCTGTTCTCATCAGCAAAGTGGGGATGACAATAGAATCCACCTCATAGGCTTGTTTGTGGGGATCACAGGTCATGCAGCAAAGAGGTCAGCAGAGAGCGTGGCACGTGATAGAAGCTATGTACGTGTCGTGTCTGCTGTTAACATCCTACTCCTCCCTGTTCCTGCCTGAGAGCCCTGGGCAAGTCATGCTCCTCCTGTGAGCCACAGTGTCGTCTGCAAAACGCAGATGAGAATGCCTGCTGTAACTGTCCCTCCCCAGTGCCAGTCACCAGGTGGGCAGGGCTGGACACACAGCACTGGTCCCCACCGCTCAGGGCTCAGCCTCTGGTGGAAGAGTCGAGGATTGGGGCAAAGAGGCACCTTTGCAATCATGGTGGTGATTTCGTGCTGGAAGGGAAGCAGACAGATATGGAAGCAGAGAGCCACTGGCGTGGCCGTGCAGGGCAACTGAGTGTGTGACATTCAGAGTGAAGGGGGAGGTGTGTGGAGCCTGCGGTGCTGTGGTTGGGGGGTAACAGTCGACAGACAGTGTGCTTATCACAGATGACGGGGACTTCCCCCACGCCCACCGCGTATGACACTGGGAGTCCCAGTTTTCAAGGGAGTTCTCCAGGGTTGACGAGCGGCGAGAGCAGACGAGGGCCCAGGGCATGGCTGAGCAGATACCCCAGACGCCACTGGCCCTTGAGTCCTTGGCCGCCTGCCACTGAGGGAGAAGGAACCATGCCCTGAAGTGCTCTTCCGGCCCGAGGACTGGCTGCCCAGGCCAAGGCTGGTGTGCTTCTCTTTCCTTTCATTCAACAAACAGCTAACGAATGCCAACGAGGTACCAGCCAGTGCTGGGGAGGCGGCAGGGACGGAACCCCTGCCCTCACAGAGCACACGGTCTAGGGGGCGCAAGGAGCCGGCAGTCCCGGGCAGTGATCTGACTTGCTCTCTGTGCCCCCAGGATTCCTCCTGGACGCCACCGACGACTTCAGCTACGTTTTCTACATGTCCAGTTTCTTCCTCATCTCGGCCGCCCTCTTCATGGGCGGCAGTTTCTGTGTCCTGGGCAAGAAGGAGCGGCAGGGCCCACGGGCTGAGGCCGAAGGAGCCGTCCCAGCAGCTGCCCCGGAGCAGCGCCTCGCCGTGGAGGACACGGGCAGTCCGGAGAAGCGGCTGTGTGTCGAGATCATGTATGTGACCAGCGTCTGAGCCCCGGGGTCACTCACCTGTGTGAGCAGCCTCCAAGCCCTGAAGTCAGCGAGTCCTGCCTCAGCCCAGGAAGCGGACATCTGGCTGCTTCACCAGAGGCTGGGGCGAAGGGCTGCCCAGCAGGCCTGACCCGAAGGCCCTCCTGGCTCTGCAGGTTGGGACTCAACTAGGAGCTGGGACCTCAGAGGCCGGCCTCCAAACACTCAGGATTCCTGCCAACGAGCAGAATCCAGGAGCGGGCCCTCCTAACTTCTCCCCTGGGCACCCGAGCGCCTGGGACCTAGGAAGGTGGGTCTGAGCCCAGCTCCTGTCTGTCATGGCCAGCTTGGCTCAGCCGCCTGCCTGTTTGCTGCTGCTACAGCTCAAGACACTGGACCCTTAAGTCCAGCCTGGATGCCTCCCATGTGATCTCTTTATCCATCACTCTCCAGACAGTTCCGGAGAGCTCACCCCTCCTCCGAGTCCCTCCTGCTCCCGCTTCTTCCCAGGTGGCTCAGCCCTTGCCCTAAGGGCTGCCCCCAGCACAGGTTGCTGGGCCCTTTGCTGCCTGGAACCTTGGCAAGAAGGGCCTCGAGAGAGAAGAAGTTGTGACAGAGGGCCAGGCGGAGGTGTGGGCCCGGATGCAGGGCGTGGACAGATTAAATGTCGGGTGGGGAACCTGTGCAGAGAACTGGAGGGGAGCCCCTGGCTTGGGCCCTAGAATCACTCAAGGCTGAGAGACCTCTGCCTGCTCAAGGCTGCTCGAGGGTCTCCTCCCTCCTTGGCCCCACCCTGTATCTCAACTGGAAGATCAGTGTTGGGTGCAGGGAGCCAGCCATCAGAAGTGGGGAGGAAGGGTTGCTGGGCAGGGCCCCAAGACCTCTGTGAAATGGAGCTGCTTTCGCAACAGAAGCCCTTTCACTCCCCTCTCCTGTCATTCTTTTCCCCCTGCTGTGTCAGAGGCGTCAGCCCTGGGGTAAGGAGCCGGCTGGGCCACCCGCCAGGCCACCCCTGGTCCCCGTTGGCCTGTGCATGGGGCCTGCAGGTCAGAGCTCCCTCTGCACACACATATTCTTTTTGCCAGTGCCTTCTCTGAGGTCATCATCACATGGGAGCTGCCTGTCACCAGCCCAGGCTTGTCACAACAGGGTACCAACCGAGGGAATAGAAAAACAGAGTTTGTTTGAATTATACACACAAGAACATTTTCTGCAGCGGGTTATAAACCCTGTGAAGTAATGATGCTGAAAAATGGCCTGGAGTAAGTTTGCTCCCATCCCCCTTCAGGGCTACTCCCACCCTGGACCTTGTTTGTTGATTCAAGCTCAACTGGGTTTTAGCAAGAAAGTCTTCAGGAGAGAACTGATTTTCTTTTGATGACCTGCTCCAGCCCTCCTCCTACCCAAGTCCAACTGGCATGAGTAAGCACCCTTCTGGATATTGTCTTTTCCAGGACCCACGAGTGCCCCCTTATGGCCAAAAAAGGTAGTACAGAGGTGAGGCAAAGGGCTCTGAGCTGGAATGAACCTGAGTTGATGTTTGACTGCCACATTTGCTGCCTTGACTCTGGGCACCCAGAAAACAGAGAAGGTTGGCCTAGATAAGCTAAGATCTCTTCCAGTCTGAAAAGTCTTATCCTAAAGACCCCCAATGCCTCCCTGCGCCCCATCCTGTCTGCACTTGATCACCGTTCACAGCTGGTACGCTGAAGCGGGGGGTGGGGGTGGAGGGGTGGGGGGGAGGCGCATCTGGGCACATTTTACCATGTCCTGCCTCCTTCATCTTAACTGAGTGGAAAAGGAGAGCGTCGGGGCTGGTGGGTGGATGAATACCTTTTTTTTTTTTAAGCACTGCATATATGGCATGTGGGATCTTGAAGTTCCCTGACTAGGACCAATGACCAAACTCATCCATACCCCCTGCAGTGGAAAGCGCTGAGTCTTAATCACTTAATCCCTAGATGAATACTTTTTGGTGCTAGTAGCCACGTGACTTTGAAACATGCATCCCCTTTTAAGCCCACTCTTGAAAACTGATTTTTTCAAGGAAAAAAGATATTATTAGTAAACATTTAGGATAGAGAACTTTGACTTCCTCTGCCTGCCCTCCCCCACTCCCTACCCCCTGCAAGAGTGGCAATCATCTCTGGGCAGAATTCCTTCAACAAATATTATTGAGGAGCTACTGTGTGTCAGGAACTGGGCAGAGAGGAGTAAGACCTGGTTACAAAACCAAGGACTTAAGAATTCTTCTCAGAGGTGAGGGCCTTGGAAGCCTTAATTCAGTTCAGTTCAGGCACTCAGTCGTCCAACTCTTTGTGACCCCATGGACTGCAGCACGCCAGGCTTCCCTGTCCATCTCCCAACTCCTGGCGCTTGCTCTAACTCATGTCCATTGAGTTGGTGATGCCATCCAACCATCTCATCCTCTGTCGTCCCCTTCTCCTCCTGCCTTCAATCTTTCCCCAGCATCAGGGTCTTTTCCAAAGCCTCAGGGAGGGACAAGTAACGGAGGATGTGATGGCCCATCAGATTCCAGAACCCACACTTGGCTGATCCTGGGATTCCTCCAGAGAAGGTCTAGAGCAGTTCCTGACCAGTGTGGGGTACCACGTCTGTCTTGTCCCTAGGTCTTTACTGCCCCATCCAGACAGAAGCAGAGAAGCCCCCTGGCCGCCTTGGGCTGAGATGAAATACTTCCCCAGGTCGAATCAGCTCTCCTTAGAATGTGAAGGGCCTGGTGAGGAGCCTGGGGCCACTGCCCTGCAAGAAGCAGCCAGAGTCCCCAAGCCCCAGGTGTGTGCATAGGGCTGGGGCTGATCACAGGCACCTGGGCCCACCACAGGTGGGGGCTGCTCCCAGGGGGGCTGTGGCAAGCTGGAGTGTGGCTGTCACTTTGTCCTTGCACAAGGCCCTTGCCCTCCAGAAACTCACAGCCTAAGCCGCTTCTATCCCCACATTTTCAAGCACCCTGGAGTCCGAGAGGGCCACCTTCCTCCCTGGTGCTCTGTCCCCTGTGCCTGTGAAGTGTGGGTCACCTGCCCCCTTCCTGAGAAACCCCGAGAAAGGACTAGATAGGGCTTCAGCATTCTGGGCTCCCCACAATCCAGAAAGCCACCAAAGTGGCATTTCTGGGGTCTGATGGTGCTGCCCCGGGTGCGCCCCGCCACCTGGCAGGCTCAGCTCGGGGTTGGGGAGCAGAGGATACCAGGCTCACTGACTTTTGTTTTCATCTTGCCCTCGCCGCGGGCATATAGGGTCATAGTTCCCCCACCAGGGATCCAATCGTGTCCCCTCCACTGGGAGCACAGAGTCTTAAGCACTGAACCACCAGGGAAGTCCTCACTGGGCTTTTGGGAAGAGCCGACCAGAAGGTGGTGTCAGAAGACCCACAGAGGGGACACAAGGAGCCGACGCTCGGCGTCTCCAGGGCGTCCCTTGATGGTGGAGGGGCGGGGACTGCGGCCAAGCGCGGGGGCATCTGAAGGTGCTTCTACCCCGACAGTCTCCCACACAGGCGACCCCTGGCACCTCTGAGCTCCTAAGGGCTCTAGGGGCACGCCTCAACATAACCGCAGGCTTCAGTGACCACTTCCCTCAAGAGGCGGATCGCCGCCTGCAAGAGACAAAACGCTGGAAGCGGGCAGCGCAGGCATACTCAGCTCAGCGACGGCCCCACCCTCTCGCCGCCTCGCCCCGCCCCTTACACATCGCCCCGCCCCTTCCGCCCTCTGGGCGGGGCTAAGCGCCGCTTCTCCCGGAAGTCCGGGACCGAGCCGAACGTCCCGCCCAGCTGGGCGCTGCCCCTCCCTCCTACGGCGCGCGGGTGGGTCCTCGTCTCCTGCTCCCCAACTTAGGTGTTCAGTCCCAACTCCTACGAGGTCTTGAGGCCCCACCGCGTCCCCCACAGCCCAGTCTCAGCTGCAAGCTGCTGCAGAGCCTGGAGCCAGGAAAGGAACCCGTTTCCCCTCCCTGGCCCCGCGGAATCAGGTGGGGTCCTCGCCCCTCTCCCCAGCCTCGCCTTCCACACTCTCCCGCCCGCTCCTCGGGGCCCCTCGCCGCCCGCGCATGGCCCAGAAGCCGAAGGTAGACCCCCACGTCGGTCGGCTGGGGTACCTGCAGGCGCTGGTCACGGAATTCCAAGAGACGCAGAGCCAAGGTGACTGCCTCGGGGTGGGGGGGCAGGGGGACCGGGCTGGGGTCCGGCCGCGACCACCGCCCGGGCCCTGGCGCCACTGCCCGCTTCTCCACCGCAGACGCCAAGGAGCAAGTGCTGGCCAACCTCGCCAACTTCGCCTATGACCCCGCTAACTACCAGTATCTGCGGCAGCTGCAGGTCCTGGATTTATTCCTCGATTCGCTGTCGGAGGAGAATGAGACCCTGGTGGAGTTTGCTATTGGTAAGGATGGGGCGGTCTCCTAGGTGCCTGATGAGATAACAGAAGTGAGTTGTTGGGAAAGGGCTCTCTTAGGGCCTTACTTAGGCCGTCTCTCAGCAGCGAAGGCAGACTTTCGTAGTGTCTGTAATGCCTCTGAGGCCCACACAGCGTCCAGGTTCACAGGTGGCTTGAGTCTGGCCTGGAACCCAGGCCCAGGACCGTTTCTACCTGTCTACCTTCCTTCTCGGTTAGAGGTGAGATTATAAATGGGAATGGATTGAAGCCCCTTGGAGGGAAAAAAAAAAGTTGAGCGTTCTTTTAAAACCTCTTTATCTTGTTTCACCATCAAGAGAAATAACAGTTACTCGGAAGGGCTTATGGCACCTGTAGTTGTTCTGGCGTCAGACCTATTGAATTATTCACCCGACAGGTGTTTGTTGGGCAGGTACGGTGTGAGCAAAGTGTTGTTCTAAATGCTGGGGAGATGGCCAAGAAGTTGGGAAAAAAATCTTTGCCCTCAGGGAATTTACATGCTAGCAGAGGGAGACACATGGTTGACAAAAAAGCTGAGGTGCTGAAGAAAACAGGCTGATGAAGAAGAGCAAGGGGAGGAAGGGACTACTTCTGGTTTGGCCCTGGCTGGAAGGCACAGGCCAGGCCAAGACCCTGGAGCAGGAGGAGCCAGAAGGAAGGCTGATGCGGCACCATTGTGGTGAGTGAAGCCGAGAGCGGTACTAAATGAGAGAAGGATTTAGTGCTGCTAAATTAGAGAGCACCTCGCACCAGTTTACGGGGATTCAGATCTAGGCATTGGGCGGGAGTTTGGAGTTTATTCTGAGGGCAAACCAACATTCCTGGGACTTCCTTAGTGGTCCAACAATTAGGACTTTGCTCTTCCACTGTAGGGGCTGCGGGTTCCATCCCTGGTTAGGGAACTGAGATCCTGCAAAAAGCAAACAAAACCGACATTCTTTTTTCAGCATGTGTCTTTAAAAAAGAACATTTCTCTGCATAGTGAAAGGAATCTTATCTTCATAGGGAATAAAATTCCATTGTCACCAAATACCCAGTTAGGCAGACTTCTCTAATAGTTCCCAAGTGGACTTTTTTTGTTGTTGTTTTGTATAAACCAGGATCCATGCTCTTAATCTGGTTGTTATGTTCCTTAGATCTCAATCTCTTGCTCTCTTTTTAAATAAACTTTGTATTTTAGAACAGTTTTAGAAAAATGGCGAAGGTAATATAGAGTTTCTATGTATGCACACCCAGTTTCCTTATTATTACCTTCTTACATTAGTATGGTACACTTGTTACAAATTAATAAGCCAATATCAGCAGTCCTGTCTAACTCTTTGCAACCCCATGGGCTGTAGCCTGCCAGGCTCCTCTGTTCATGGAATTTCCCAGACAAGAGTACTGGAGGTGGGTTGCCATTTCCTCCTCCAGGGGATCTTCCCGACCCAGGGATAGAACCTGTGTCTCCTGCATTGGCAGACAGATTCTTTACCACTGAGCCACCTGGAAACCCCTATTATTAACTCGAGTCCGTACTTTATTCTGATTTCCTCAGTTTTTCCCTCGTAACCTTTTACTGTTTCAGGAGTCCATCCAAGATACTATGTTAGATTTAGGCTCCTTTGGGCTGTGCCAGTTCTAGACTTTTTCTTTTCGTGAACGACCTTGGCAGTTTTAAGGAGTACTGGTCAGGTATTTTGTAGGTTTTCCTTTAGTTGCGATTTGCCTGGCATTTTTCTCATTATTAGACTGGGATATGAGTTTTGGGGAGGATGACTACAGAGGTAAATGGTAAGAGGCCATGATATATCTCCTCTAACTAAAGCTATTTTGGGAGGTGCTTCCCATGTGGGATCTTAGTTCCCTGACCAAGGATTGAACCTATGCCCTCTGCAGTGGCAGTGCAGAGTGTTAACCACTGGACCACTAGGGTCTCGACTCTGGAGAAAACTTTGCTAAAAAGAGCAGTCAGCCAAGGCGAGTTTTTACAGGATCAGGAAGCACCTTTCCCAAGGTAGGAGCCCTCTGAGATCCCGGCCCACTGGGCTGGGGGCTCCTAGGGTGGGTGACCACGCCCTGGACCTGGAGTCCACAGTCCCCACTTCACTTCATAGCTGATCCTTGTGTATGAGTCCTATCTCTTCTGAGCTTCGTTTCCTCATCTGAGCCTTGCCTGCCTCGCAGGACTGGTGTGGGGAGCAGAGCTGTTGGGTTTGTGTGTCTGTGAAGGTACTTTGTCTAGAATCGTTTGTATCCTTATCACCAGTTTTCCTTTTCACAGCCGCTTTTCCTCTTTTTTCTCCTTCTTTCTAAGGTCCCCAATCCCAGGAGCAACAGCTTTCTTAGCTCTGCGTCCCTCCATGGGGTCCTCTGCAGATGAAATTTCTTTTTTATTTATTGTGCATAAATTGGAAGTCCCAGTGGTGCTTAGAAGCCTATTTTGTTACTCTTTTTGTTTCCTTTCTTGTTGATGTCTGTGGCGCTACATTGGAAACACTGTCAGAGCTTATCCTGCCCTGTGCTTTGTAGCTTGGAATCTTTTCTCTCTGGTGGCAGGTCTGAGATTGTGATCTCCATGAGGTCAGAGTGCTTTGCTTATTTTTGTCTTGAGTGCTCAGGCTTTTTGGTCTGGAAAGAAAGAGAGGATGGGGTGAGTGCACATGTAGAGTCCTGCCCCTGACCTGGGGCTGGCACGCTGAGTGGGGCTGGTTCTGGAACAACTACTGGGTAAGATTGGCCATCGCCACGGTTTGTCGGAATCAAACCCAGTGTTGGTTTGTTGGCGCAGAAGAGAGTGAGTTTGGTAGGAGCAGGGCTTTGGGGTCAGGCAGGCCTGGGTTCAAGTCCTCACTCTGCAACTTAACTCTAGGCACGTGACTTCCCTTCCACCGTCAGTCAGGTGGGCAGGATCAGTACCTGCCTCACAGAATTGTTGAGAATTATATGAGCTGAAGTGCCTGCAGCTGCATGGCTTCCTGCTATCCAGACCTTTTTGAGGATAAGCAGTTCCCTCATCTCCCAGAGACTGAAGTGGGATAGTGTTTCATGACCCATTTGTTCCAGGGATTCGTTCCTTCTGGAAAAGCATCACTGAGTGATAGGAAAAGGTATGAAAGTTGACCCCTAGCCTCACAGTGGGTGTCCGGGCAGTATTAGGAGGACATACCCCTGGGTGACGGGCACTGGTCAGGCCAGAGCCACCCTTGTTTGGGTCGGAGGATGGAAAGTGAGTGGATTATCAGGAACCAGATGCAAAGCCAGGATCTCAGTAAACACTCAAATGAATGAAAGGATTCCGAGCTCATGCCCCAGATAAAACCTCTGGCAGGCTTTGGCATCAGTTTGAGAGCATTGGCCTGAAGAACCACTGGTTGATTCTTTCTTACCTGCTGTGTGTGCATACCTGCACCATTCTAGATGTGTGTGGATATGTAAACAAGCCAGGAGATAACTCACTGGTTCCATGAAAACTGAATCCTAGGATATCACAGAATACTTGACAGTTTTGTTACCAAAACAGAGTTCAAGTAGGAGGGACCTCCCACAATTCAGCTTAAATCCTTTTTCCTGTGTTCTATTTCTTGCAATACTCGTAGCTGCCACCAGATGGTGGTGGTGTACTGAAAAAGACTGGCGGATGACGCCTGACCCGCCTCTCTGGAAAACAGTATCTAGTGTAATTGAAGGGAGGCATGCCCCCTGATCTGGCAGTTACATTCACAGGGTTAGGTCCAGGCACGTGTAGACACATAGGCAAAAATGTCACCAGCAGTATTGTCTGTAATAGCCCCAGCCTGCAAACAGTCAACACTGGGATGAATATCAATATTGTGGATGTTCATACTACTTGGCAAGGTAAATGAACAATCTGCACAGCTCCATGCAATTATCCTGCAAACATAATGTTAAGCACATGATGCTAGACACATAATAATATGTACAGCATAACTCCATTTTTATAAAGTCCAAAAAGAGGCAGAACTGAATTACAGCATTTAGCAGCGGGTGTGTGGTTAAAAAAGAAAAATATTTGGAAGATCCCGAGAACTCCCTGGTGGTCCAGTGGTTAGGACTCGGTGCTTTCGCTCTCGTGGCCTAGGTCCAACCCCCGATAGGAGAACTAAGATCCACAAGCCCCACAGGAAATAAAAGGTCCTGTTTATTACGAGTCAGGAAGGGGCCCAGCTCTGAGAGGGAGAGAACTCGGTCAGGAAAGAGCGTGCAGAGGCGCTGGACTGCTGACTGTGCCTCAGTGCTCGGCCTCAGCGCTGGTTGCGTGGGCACTCGGGCTCTCACTGTCCACCTCTGCCCGTGTGTGGGTTGCAGGTGTGCCCTGCGCCATTCTCCGGGGCTGTAAACGGGCGTGGCTGGTCCACCTGTGCTGGGTGCCAGAGCGGGGTCTTCCATCATCTGATGCGCTCTGCCCGGTCTACTGACGAAGACACTCAGGCTGAGAAATGGAGTTGCTTGCTCTGCTCGCTTGAATCTGCAGGGGCCGTTCCCGGGATTTTTAGCTAGCTCCGCCCACCACAGAGCCCTTGCTCCATCCGCGGAACTCTGGGGTCCCTGGGGAACCCGTTTCTCTCATCGGTCCTTTAGGGGCCTGGGATCGCACATCTTTCAGCTTAAAAACAAAAACCTCCCAGCCCGCCAGCAGTTGCAGGAAAGCTGAAGTCGAGGTTCTCGCCCCACCACTCCCTCGCGCGCACCTGGGAAGGCTGACGCCAGGCCCCTCTGCCCTCCCGCCCCCCCTCCTCTCAGTTCCAGGCACAGGCAGGGTGTGTCTGTGTCTCACTCCCGTGTGTGAATGTGTAAGGGTTCACCCGGTACAGAGTTCAAAAGGGGAGGCGGTAAACTGTAACAGTCTGTAGCCTTCTCTGGAGGCAGCCATGTTACCAGTTTCTTGTGTATCCTCCCAGAGGTGTTTGCAGGATTTATAAACAAATATGTATGTGTTTGTATACTATGTATACACTGTATGGCTTACACATGCCTGTAGTATACTA